AACATATATAACTTTTGAAGAAAACAGGGACATTTGAANAAACAAGATTTAGAAAAGCATATAAAATGGTCAGTCTTATTTTACAAATAGCATATATAACTTTTGAAGAAAACAGGGACATTTGAAACAGATTTCAAGTTTAAGTAACAACAATAATCTAATGAATAAAAGAACTCAATATACAATTAATAATTCATTTCACCATAAACCGTTTCTCACAAGGTCTTGCGGAATCCCATACTTCTCAAGATTCTTGTACAAACTATTTTTAGTAGAATAAATAATAACTCATAACTTGAACATTTCACAACAATATATACATGTATCTCAACCATGATGTAAGACATCCACATGAATCAACACACACCTAAATCTTCTCAAAGATATCCAACCTTTAGGAAGGGCGTATATCATACCAATGGCAGTGACGTATCCAATTCAGGCGTTAGTACACTAACCCTCCGCCTTGATACTCGTGAGCAATAGCGATTTAGTCTTACCAAAGCACTAACCCCACTACGAGTGGTNTCCAGGCGTTAGTATACTAACCCTCCGCCTTGATACTCGTGAGCAATAGCGATTTAGTCTTATCAAAGCACTAACCCCACTACGAGTGGTAGAAAAAATTCAAATCCACACGGAACATGAAGAACGTCTANGCAGTGACGTATCCAATTCAGGCGTTAGTACACTAACCCTCCGCCTTGATACTCGTGAGCAATAGCGATTTAGTCTTACCAAAGCACTAACCCCACTACGAGTGGTAGAAAAAATTCAAATCCACACGGAACATGAAGAACGTCTACCCACTCTACGATATCTCGTCAAAGGCCACCCATGGTCATCCCACACTCATAAGAGATACAATACCAAACTCAATTTCTCAATTTACAAGTATATCTCAAAAATTCCCAAATTTATCATGTGACAATTCTAATAACCAATTAAGAAAAATACAAGAGATCACAACAACATCGTTTTATTACTCAACATAAAGTACTATAGTTTTGAAATCAATAATAAAGGAAGAATTTAAGAAGAAAATTCATCACTCTCCAAAAACTAGGATTTTAAAGTAAGAAAAGAAATTTCATGGGTATTCAGCCCTAACTTTGTTCAAAACATGTAATCTTTGTTAAAAAAAAGACTAAGAGAGGATGATTTCATATGATATATATAACATTTAGAGGCAAAATATACATATATAAATACTCTAACCTCAATGAACAAGGATGGAATAAAATCCCTACCTTGAATCAAAATTTCAAGTAAGAACCCAAGCTCTAGTGACCTCGTTCTTCCATTTTCTTCCTCCCTTAATCTTCCTCTAAGGTTCCAAGAGGTGTGGGGTGAGAGTGGAGTGAAAGAAATGAGGGAGAATGAGATGAAATGGTGTTATAAGGTCAGCCAAATCCCGATTTTACTGTTCACAGGTTGATTTGGTTTTTTTCAAAATTACGATTTTGCCACTAAGAATCTTCAATGTGATCCATATGATTACCCTAAGGTTTTTTGACGTTCCGGATTTATTTTTAATGTTATTTTAACCTAAAAATATTTATTTTTATGATTTAATTCAAAAATAAAATAAATTTACACTCGAAACACTAAAATTACTATTTTATTCCTCCGAACCGTTATATGTACTAAATGACTATCTCAAGTTTTTCGGACCTCTCAGGTTCAAGGATAATATTATTTTGATCCAAAAAAAAAAAAATTAATATTTTTACTTTGTTACCTTCATCAATCTTAAACATCTAAAAAAAAAATTAAATTTCACAATCAATTTGTCTTCCTAGTATTTATTCTTATGGTTTCAATATATATGATTTATTCTTACGTCATTACATATATAAGAATCCCTAACACAAGTACATTACTATATTAATATAAGCATGCGGGGGTTTACAATCCACCCCCCTTAAAGAGAGTTTCGTCCTCGAAACTTACCTCAAGTAGCAAACAAGTGCGGGTACTTCTCTCACATTTTTAGCTCCGGTTCCCAAGTAGATTCTTACACTCCATGGTGTTACCTCAAAACCTTCACTAGTCGGATGACTTTGTTACGGAGCACCTTCTCTTTGGTATCAAGAATCTTCACCGGTTGTTCTTCATACGTTGCTCCGTCTTGAACTTCGATATCTTCCAAATCTATCACATGCGTGGTCTTCGACTGGCACTTCCTCAACATCGACACATGAAACACGTCGTGCACCCCTGACAACTGGGCCAGTAACTGAAGTTGATACGCCGCTTTGCCCACTGCTTTGATCACTTCAAATGGTCCGATGTACCTTGGAGCCAATTTTCCCTTCTTGCCGAATCTCAAAACTCCCTTCTTAGGCGACACTTTGAGGAAAACATAGTCCCTTTCTTGGAACTCCAATGGTCTTCGTCTTCTGTCCGCATAGCTTTTCTGTCTACTTTGTACCGTGCGTAGTCTCTTCCGGATGAGTTGAATTTTCTCTGTAGTTTTTCGAACAATTTCCGATCCAAACAAGCTACTCTCGCCCGCGTCTAACCAACACGTCGGTGATCGACATGGCCTTCCGTACAATGCTTCATACGGAGCCATTCCAATACTTGCCTGATAGCTGTTGTTGTACGCAAATTCCACCAACGGCAAATGGTCACTTTAACTTCCCTTGAAGTCCAATACGCATGCACGGAGCATATCCTCCAAAATTTGTATCACCCCCTCGGATTGGCCATCCGTTTGGGGATGAAAAACGGTGCTAAAATGCAATTCTGTCCCCATAGTTCGTTGTAGACTTTGCCAAAATTGCGCCACAAAACGGGAATCACGATTCGATACGATAGAGAGTGGAACTCAATGCAATCTCATGATCTCGCGGATATACAGCTTGCTCAAGGTCTCTAGAGTGTTTGTGGTCTTCATACTCAAGAAATGTGCGGACTTGGTGAGTCTATCAACTATAACCCATATTGCATTAAGCCCGCGTGACGTCCGTGGTAAACCCGACACGAAATCTATGGTGATGTGATCCCACTTCCAATCTAGGATAGACAAAGACTGTAGTAATCCTCCTGACTTTTGATGTTCGATCTTCACCTGCTGGCACACCGCACATCGTGCTATGAACCTTGTCACATCCTTCTTCATTCCCTTCCACCAATATTGGCGCTTTATGTCCCTATACATTTTTGTGCTATCGGGGTGGATAGCAAACTTAGAGCGATGACACTCTTCAAGTATCTCCTCCTTTAAGGATGAATCATCAGGAATACATAGCTTCTCCCCATATCTCAGTTCTCTATTTCTCAAAGACCAACCCTCCATTTTCTTCCTCCCTTAATCTTCCTCTAAGGTTCCAAGAGGTGTGGGGTGAGAGTGGAGCGAAAGAAATGAGGGAGAATGGGATGAAATAGTGTTATAAGGTCAGCCAAATCCCGATTTTACTGTTCACAGGCTGATTTGGTTTTCTCCAAAATTATGGTTTTGTCACTAAGAATCTTCAATGTGATCCATATGATTACCCTAAGGTTTTTCGACGTTCCGGATTCATTTTTAATGTTATTTTAACTTAAAAACATTTATTTTTATGATTTAATTCAAAACTAAAATAAATTTATACTCGAAACACTAAAATTACTATTTTATTCTTCCGAACCGCTATATGTGCTAAATGACTATCCCAAGTTTTTCGAACCTCTTAGGTTCAAGGATAATATTATTTTGACCAAAAAAAAAAAATTAATATTTTTACTTTGTTACCCTTATCAGCCTAAAACACCTAAAAAAAGAAATTAAATTTCACAATCAATTTGCCTCCCTAATATTTATTCTTACGGTTTTAATATTTTTGGTTTATTCTTGCGTCATTAGATATATAAGAATCACTAAACAAATACATTATTATATTAATATAAACATTTGGGGGTTTACAAATGTAATTATCAAAATGCAAATAATTTGCGACCAAAAGAGGGGGAAAATATGGTCATCTTCTCCAGCAGCATGACTCTTCCACAACTTCTATCTTTGCAATCTTGATTATGCTCCCAACGTCAAACTATTTCATACATAAACTTCACCCAGATGTTGGCGACTCTTTCTTACATATTGGCAGCTCTCTTTTAGAGTGGTTCGCCCACTAATTGAATCAATCTTGTAGAACCTACTTAAATCTTTTGGTCACGCTCTAACTCTTTCAAAGAGATTGTGGACATCAAGGTCTGGGACTTACAAAACCTTGTTGGCAATTAGAAGCAGAATTCCTGTGGAAAAAAAATTCAATGAGCAGATGTCATATATTCTATGTGGGAAGTCAAACCCTTCCATGGAGAGAGAGAGAGATAGCGTTTTTATAAGATCAGTTTATCCTAGAACAAGACTGTTGCATCAAAACTCAATTAAGAGGAAGAATGATCCACTTTGCCAAAGACAATAAGGATTCAGAGATCAATTTGTGGTCTGAGAGAGAGAGAGAGAAAGAGAGAGAGAGTACATCCAAGAATCTGTGTGCATTCATCATATTCTTTTTGCATATGGGGCTTTACAAACTCATTTCTTAGATTCATGGATCTCAAAATTTTCCCTCCAAAAAGATGCCATTATTGGAGGAATCGATTAATTGAATACCTTATAACTTCACTTCATTGGACTTTCATTGCTTGAAGGCCTCTTTAGAAATGCTAATGTTACGTAGTCAGTTCAACCTCGCTAAACATTAGCATTGTTTCTCAACTACTTGGTGTTGGTCATGAGTCATTTTTTAGCTGTATCTTTCCAAATGCCCGTCACTGCTTAAAATTAAGGCAACCACACTGTTTCTCAAGATGCTCACTATTAATGTTACTTTACCTTGAAAAAATGGTTCAACAATTGACAAAGATGATTTTTTTTTTTGTTTAAAATTATCTCTCTTTTTATTTTTATTTTTATGATGTCTTGTGATCCTTTTCTTTTTTATTTTTTAATAGTTAATATTGTTTCTTTGGTACCATCATGAGCATCTAATGGCTTCTTGTCTTAGGAAAACTATGACCGCTTGAACGAGGCACTGCTTGCTGGTACGGAGCACTCATGGACTGCTCTTACACTTAAGGTAATGGATGTTTCCGTCTGAAGGATGCCACCATATGTAAGATACTTCTGTATGTTGATGATTTACTCGTTGGACACTCTGACACAGTATATGTGCCAGCTCCTGTAAATTCTGTTATAAAGTCGATGCACTATGCCTGTTTTGATAAAATTACAAATCCTGACATGCCTAAAGTTGGTACTTTCTTTCCGGCTCATCTCGTAGATATTCACGACACAAGTTATGTCTTTTAAATTACAGACCAGATATTTCTGACTGGAATAGCTGACATAATTGTCCCTTGTTCTTTCATGCTCCAATCATCTATTAAGTTTGCATGTCTAGAACTACAGCCTTCACCACTGTCTTAAAATAGGTGAACTTTGTCTGCATGAACACACTTATAGCTGTGTCACCTTGACGAATCCTGTTGGCCGTGTTCGTGTGTTCCAGCTATGCACTGCTTTGGAAACTGCTAACAAATTGGTTCAATCTACGAACTCTCATGTTGATTTGCTGTCGGGGAAGCTTGGGGAGTTTGAGAAAATCATTAAGAGGGGAGATTCTGCCATAGCAGCCGCCAGTGCTATCCACAGGTGCCTGAACCAAAGAGAAGCACGGCTGAGTGAAAATATCAAATAGTCCAGCAGTGATCATTTACAAGGTTAGAAATAGAGAATTTACAGAATTTTCTTTTGTTTTTATGGGAAGTGTAAGATTTTGACACTGGTCATTGAATTGAGATTTGAAAATGTGCGGAGAAAAGATATGGTAAATGGTAATCAAATGAGGTGCTTTCTTGGGTCATTTTGATCTTGTAGAACTTCACCATAAAGAGGAAAATAAGTTCTTTTAGAACTTTTTCTTTCCAAATGGTGAAGTAATTAATATTTCCAAATAGCATTTCTTGTAAGTCCAGTGTGATTGTACCTTGAATGTCAATTCTGTTGTACTAATTCCTGTGTTTATCATACTTATCCTGTTTGTTTGAAAAATTTTGGAGAGTCTAGAGAACAGAGGTATTGTGATCCTTACTGTTCGAGCTTATTCTTCAAGTACAACATGAAACCAATCTCTCTGAAAACATTGAAGGCCTTATAATCCCATCATCATCATTATTATTATCTATAAGGTTCTGCGTAAGTTTCAGAATTATATAACTTTTGTAATCATTTGGATAAGAGTTGTTCCCTTTCAATTACTTGTGGCATCTGATGTAGCCATGTACGAAACATGTATGTCCAAAACATGACGTTTCTTTTATCAAATATGAGGCTGAACAAATCTACGCTGAGCCTTTTAACAAATGTTGGTTCATGTTGTGTGAATTGATGAATGTTTAGGCTTGTTTACTTTATAGATTTGAGTTTGTAAACTTGAAACAAGAATGATGGTTGTTGTGAGAGTTGGTTAGATTATGTTTTAGTTTGGATGATGTTGGGTTGGTTATTTCGTATTTGTGATGAGTGTTTGATGTATACACTTATATGTTCATTTCCTATGATTTTTGTAAAGAAAGTTTCGTTGGAATTTTTGATAATTGACTTGCTTGTAAATTCAAGTAACAATTTCAAAGATTTTTCTCCAATTCCAAACCCGGTGGAGATTTTCATTTGATAATTAAGTTTTATGTTAATCACACTGTTTTTTAAAAACGGGGCATTACACTTTTGTAGACAAGAGAGGATCTAGATGTACTTTGGTTCAACAACACACACATGCCCCCGCCACTTGGGTGTGGGAATGGGTGCGAGTTAAATCTAATATTATCTTTTTGGGCAAAGTTTGTTTACTAAATGGGTTAAGAATTTCTTACCCGATTTTAAAATTTGTACCAAGTGGGATTTGAATTACGCGTAAGTCCGAATTAAAATTTTTGATTTTTTACATTTCTGTCTACAAATACCTAAATTTCATTAGTTCCACACTGAAAATTCTACATTATTTGCAGTAGTCGTTACAAACTTCATTTGAGAGAGTATAAAACACAATTTCTAGTTCAGTGAGCATAGAGANATTCCACACTGAAATTTCTACATTATTTGCAGTAGTCGTTACAAACTTCATTTGAGAGAGTATAAAACACAATTTCTAGTTCACTACAAACTTCATTTGAGAGAGTATAAAACACAATTTCTAGTTCAGTGAGCATAGAGATTGCATTGTGTGTTAGATCATTATATCCTAACAAAAAACGTTGAAGACATCCATAAGTATTGGTGTGGAGACGAAATATGCCTTCAGAAATATAATATCAAATAATAATCTTAATCAATACGGCCTATTCTGTATTAGGTCAGTTTGTAGTTATTGTTTTATTGCATTTAACTCCAAACAGTATTATATGGTAAACATTCTCTCAACTGTCTTATGCTAGATAAATACGTCCATCGAAAAGTTGACAAGACAGAGGGAACCATTTAGTTATGGAGAAGACTACACTACTTGAAAAAAAAAATATCGTGTCATTTTTTTACAAATATTGAGTTTTTTATACTAGTTTTGAGGGTTATTTATAATTTTTTGGGAATCATTTACTAATTTTGGGGTTCATATATAATTTTTGAAGTTCATTTACAATTTTAGGATTGATTCCAAGCAATTCCCAAAGTTGTAAATGGTCCCCAAAAATTATAATTTAACTATAAAAGTTGTAAAATACCCATAAAAATTGAATTTTTTTTTTTTTTATCATTAACAAACCCAAAAACTAGTATTTCAATTCACAATTTTTTTGTGCAATTTAGTGGTGCAATATATATATATATTTTTGGGTACGGTATTATTCTCCTTTAGTTAATGTCTAAGTCAGCTAAACTTAGGATATACATGACTAAAGATAAGATTTGTTAATCCCAAATTCTGTTCATCGTGATGGATTCCTATAAAAGAAGTTGAAGGTCAGAGAGACTCCGGTAGTCGACCCTTTGATGATAAAATCAAGCGAGAATGATAGAAATAAGTTGTGTTTAGTTGAGAATGGATTAGTACTTGGATGTTGCCTAGCTTTGCTGTTATGTAGGTCAAGAGATTGTACCATTGAAGATCCTCAACAATTATTTGAATGAAGCGTCATTGGACGTGGAACAAAAGCTTGCGCCTTCTAGTGTGGATATCTCAATTGGTTTGAATTAGTTAAGATGACTAAGCTGGAGTATTGGCGATCAAGGAACTAAGGTCCTTTCTGAGTCAAGAGTTCACCCATCAAGCATAATGTGCTGAGTTCGAGCATACGTCGTCAGCTTGTGCTATTTTCTCATCATCAGTTGTCCCTTAATTCAGACCTGTGAGTGACACGTGTCATGAATTTAACACATTTATCTGTTAGAACTTAGAAAAGTGGAATCAACAGTCGTGCACATGCAACCGCCAAAGAGCCATAATGGGTCCGGCATATAAAATTTTCTTTCCTTCACTACCCAACACATCTTTGAGAGCTCTAAGAAGTTTGTTACACCCTTGCCTCATCGTCTCTATCTTTTCTCATCTTCTTGTTTTATTATAACTCTTCACCCTGGAGCATATAGGTTGGACCCATACCTTTTAGTTTCACTTTTACCGCTTTTTCTTTCTGAGGTGGAAGAGCTTCAATCTTGACCATCTTGAGTTTTTTGTGGACAGATATGTTACAGCTCGGCTTGAATCTCTACTTGATTTTTGCCTTTTAGTTGTCCATAGCCCTAATTGCCCCTTCCACCAAATTTTTATATCAATAAAAATAGCTTTCCTAATTATGATGAGTAATTTTGAGCACATACCTTCTTAAAGTTTTTCGGTTTTAGTGGCCTAGATTAATGCGGTCAACGAGGATTTTGACCCTTCAGAAAATTGGCTCTTCGTCTCTCAAGGTCGTCAGAGCCAAAAATTATTGTAGTTGCCTTGACGAGGATGTCCTTCGAGAAATTAGGTCATTATACCAGATTCCTGATTTTGTGCTCCTTAGGATCCTATATTTCGCCAACTCTTTTTTGTTAGATGAAGTCTGCTTTTATGAGTCCTCTTTGAAGCTTGACTTCATTTTCTGATGCCTAGATATATTAGAGAAACCCTTCACCTTTTGAACATTGCTCCTACTCAATTGACCTCAAATAGCTAGGGATTCTTGATCGGCGTATGTGTCAGTTTGTCTAGAGCTAATAGCATTGTCATTTAGCCTACCTTTGTCGAATTCCTACAATGTTATAAACTTATCCCTTGCCATGAGCAAGGTTTGGGGTGGTTCTACCTTTCAAAGAGAGAATGGTCGAGCTTACTAACGGGCTACTCTTCGAATGTGAAAAAATGGAAGGACAAATTCTTCTTTGTCTCTGGGCCTGATTGGGAATTTGGGTCGTTAGAGGCTTCCCAAAGTAAATCTTTCCAGTTCCTCATCTATGGGGATCCCCTACCCCTTCTCTTCATAAGTAGGTTTTATTTGGTGTATTTTAACTCACAATTTTCGTTGGATTTTGAATTTATGCTCTTTTGGAACATAGGTAAATCAAACTCTGGCCCACAGAATTGAAACTCCAAGTCAAGAAAGCTCTCGACTAACCCACAAAAGATCTCTCCATCCTCATAAATAATCAGACACTTTTTGAGTGTTTGTTGGAAGCAGTAACCAACTTGGAGTTACCAATAGGTAACACGTCCACAGAAGCAAAATCGTCGAAGATAATGGCTATAAACTCCCAAAAGACTCATGATCTGGGCATTATAAGGAATAGTTTTAATTATGAAGCAGTTAATGCTGTAACAAAGTTGTTTATTTAGTCCTTTTGTAACCTAAGTCCCTTAGATTGAATTAATAAAGTAATTCCCTTTTATTAGTTATATGTTATGTCATTTTGCCTTTGCATAGTGTTGAGGAGGGTAGGGCCTTAGTGAATAGGTTTGCAAGATTATCACTTGATCATATCTGCTTTACTTCAATTTCATGACTCTATTGGAGTTCATGACTATAGAAGAACTTTGGTGATATATGATTGGTTCTGTCACTTTTAATAAATCCGTGATAACATATCTTGGAACATATTCTCAAGTTACCTCAATAAAATTACCTAAAAATACCAAAAATATAAAATTTCTTGTTAAGCATCAAAGGCAACGAGATCCGTGAAAGGTCAAATAAATAAAAGGTTTGATCAAATAAATAAAATCTTTCTTTTGGAGGAAGCTTGATGTACAGTATTTTGTATAGGCGAAAATGCTATTGTATGGATCTTATAGGTTGTTTGGGGTCTAACCAAATGAAATCTCAAATGCTTGATAATGCTTGATAATTTACGCTCCAAATATGGGGGTTCTATTGGGCGTATGAGAGAGGAACATGAAATTTTGGCTAAAATATTAATATGGTTATTTATGAATAAAGGTTGTATTTTACAAGCTACCATTTAGAACGTATCTGTCACATTTTTGCGATTTTGCATCCTCACACATAGCAACCTTTGTGGTTTATCCATTTGAACACTTCTATCTTTCCTCTCTTTCTAACACACCATTTGTTAGAAAATCCAAATTAATATATATGAAATTAACAATCTGATTGAAAAGGTACTAATTATATCTTTCTTGGTATGTTCTATATATTCTTGTAGTTCTACTTTTTCTTGGTATGCTTGAACAAGAACTAATTATATCTCTTCCTTGTTTTGTTTTAT